GCGCAGCAAGCGGGCCCTTCGCCCCCGCCCGCGCTGTATCCGACCCTACAGCTCCCAGGGACAAAGTCCCCCGGAGCTGCAGGGTCGGATAAAGCGGAGTGTCGGATTACTGGGAGTTGAATAATCCGGACTCCACTGTACAACCATTAGAGCTAGCAAACCAGAACTGATCACATAAAGCTGGGTTAGGAGATTATACAGGGGCTGGAGGCGTGGGGAGAGAGAGAGATCACACCCCTCCGTGAAACTAGAAGGCTGTCTAAATTAATCTCTTTTCTCGAAAAAGAGATGTAAATTAGACACTTTGATATTGCAATGAAGCTGGCATTTAAATTTCCCATGCCTCATTTGCATAATGGCAGTCACAGTTTTTTTTCAAAACAGGGCTTTTTGAAAGAAAAATGGCCATTTAGATGGGGATCAATCGATCGAAAATAACCCCCCCCCCTTTTTTTGAAAAATCCTGTATTCCTGGCTGCCATTATGCAAATGAAGCCAGGATTTAAATTTCTGGTACTTCATTTGCAACTTTCAAGTGTCTAATTTACATACCTTTTCTAAGAAAAGGGATGTAGTGTAGACACAGCCGAACTGACTGGGCTTCCCATGTGGTGATGGCAGCTGTAGGTCCAGAGTGTTGGAGACAGGCAGAGCAAAGCCCCCAGCACAGTCAGGAGCAGACGAAGTCCTAGTGGACCTGACAGAGTTTAGATCCAGGCATCAGAGCACTTTAAGTGAGCCTGGGTAAGGGGTGTGGGGGAGGGTTACAAGAGTTCAAGGGGGACACTAGATTTGTTTCTGGGTAAACGGATGGTTCAAGGGAGTATTCTCGTGTCGTTTTGTTTGTTACACAACAGAGACTGATCATGCCTGGCTGTGGGTTGGAGACCTTCCAGGGAGCTCGTAATGCAATTAGGCAGTTTCAGTATTTTGGATCCCAATGAGGCTTTCGTACTAAAACTGGTCTGATCATTACTGATCTAGGAGTGGGCAGGCCTGGGCTCACTAGCACTGAGAGCAGAGATTTCCCACCAGGCAGTGCTTTCCTGCTTTCTGGATCCCAGAGTTCAGTGCTGTTCTTGCCTTGGAATCTGTTCTCCATGCTGTATGCTAATGGAGATGTCTATCTGTTCTATTTTCCTTGCAAATGAGGCTAAGGGTGTGTCCTTATCCTGTCCCCCTTGTCTGGAGGGTTTAGGTGGGGCTTCCCCCACCTTTTCATGACTTTGGTGAAAGCAGAAGTCGGAGGTGTTTGTTTTCCATGAGTATTATGGGCTGGTTCCCCCAAGAGCACAGTGCTGGTAGGTAACATTCCCGTTTTATGAGTGATTTGTCTTGAATACCCCCAAATTTCATCTCACTTAAACACTATTTGCTAACAAAATCAGACCTAAAATTACAAGTGTCCCAGCACACTGTTACTGAACAATTGTCCATTTTCTCATTTTTACCATACAATTATAAAATCAATCAGCTGGGATATAAATAGTGTATTTACGTTTCAGTGTATAGTATATTGAGCAGTATAAACACATCGTATTCTGTATGAAATCTGAACGTGTGCTGATTTTGCTAGTGCTTTTTATGTGGCCTGTTGTAAAACTAGGCAAATATCTAGGTGAGTTGATATACCCCCCCAGGAGACGTCTGTCTCCCCCCAGGAGCACACGTACCACTGGTTGAGAACTACTGTCCAGGAAAGCCATGAAATCACAGTGTTTTCTGTCAGTAACTATGTCTCTCTCTGGATAGCTGCAGGAGCCAGGTGACTTGCCACACCCCTCTTTAAATCAGACCTTCAGGCTGGTAAGCCTGATGCTTCTTCTCCAATACAAAGTGTCTGCACGCTAACAGCTTTCTCAGCCTGGCTGCCTTTTCCTGGCTGAAACTAGCCCTCCCCAGCAAGGACAAGGGCAAGAGCACTGCTCCCAGGGAGTGGACAATGAGGTTGGATAGAACATGAGGAGGGAAAGATGACATCAGGGAAGAGGGGTGGGGAATGAAGCCTTGTTTTTTGTGAGCTATGATGAGGTCGCCTTTTCTTGCAAGGTAAGAATCTTGTTGTGTTTGTGATCTGTAGGGAGAGTGTTAAATAATACACTGGGGTGGGAATGTGGGTCGCTGCTGGTGAAATTACGGAAAGAGGGTTTTGAGGAGGCAGCTGCTTGTACTGTGGGTGTGTCTTTGCAGGGGCTGTTGTTAGCGAGACTGACTGCTTCAACTTGAGTGACACGGTGGGCTTAGCAGCCTGTCTCCCACCAGCACAGCACGCTTCTTATCTGAGTTGGTAGGTTTGTGACCTATTTCTGTCTTATTTTTAGTTTAAGCATGCTGGGAAGAACTCCAGGCTTAGGGCACAGAGGGTCTGTGACTGCCTGAGTACCTGCTGTTTGGTTTGAACCCCTCTGGTGGGCAGAAGCTGCCTTGGCTTAGGATGGGCTTAGCAGCCTGTCTCCCACCAGCACAGCACGCTTCTTATCTGAGTTGGTAGGTTTGTGACCTATTTCTGTCTTATTTTTAGTTTAAGCATGCTGGGAAGAACTCCAGGCTTAGGGCACAGAGGGTCTGTGACTGCCTGAGTACCTGCTGTTTGGTTTGAACCCCTCTGGTGGGCAGAAGCTGCCTTGGCTTAGGAGAAGGCAATCCTCCTAGAAAAGGGGGGTGTGAGGACCGAGGGGTGGGGATGCAGGCGTGGCTCTGATCACAGCCATCTCAATAGGAACCCTGACAATGGCACTACATACACAGGGGCGACCTCAAACTACAGCGTGAATAGTTTCTCAAATGCATAAGAAGGTGAGTTCCTGGTCCCTGAGTGGCCCAGTCTAATATTGATAGACACAAAGCAAGTTCTCCCATAGCGACTTATCACTTAGTTTCACTGATTCCAGTGAGAAACCCCTGAAGAGACCTTAAAATGGATAAAAGCTGGGCAAACTCTGCCCTCAGCCCCTAAGGCACTGTTCTGGTTTGATCTAGTCAACTTTTGCTAGCCTAGTCCTGGGTCTCCCCTTGGAGCAGCAGACTAGAGCTGGGTTTCTTTGCTGGCCATTGAGAGAATTGTTTTAAACATGTTTTGGGTCAAACAAAATGTGTTGCTTAGATTCTGAAGGCTTTTTCTTTCTTAGCTTTTTTTTAAAACATGGTTAACTATGAAGTTGAAGAAATGCTGTTTCAAATCAAAACAAAAAACTTCTGAAAAAATGGAGGAACTTTTTTTTAGGTTTTTTTCAAGCAAAATAACTTGCCGAATCAGTCCATGCTCACCGAATGCATGGGGAGAAACTAATCTGCAGGGCTTGCTTTTTTTTTTTTTTTAAGTTTGTTGAAAAATATTACCCAGGTCTGGGGAGGAGATTTATTTGTCTTGTGGCAAAGGTACGTCTACACTGTGATAAAAGATTTGTGGCGTGGCACAGGCTGGGCAGCTGTGCTCTGTGTGTGTGCTGTGCATGCTGCCATTCTCTCTCTTTCCCCTCCCCCCACCCCGGATCCCTCCCCAACCTGCTGGAGGAGCAGCAGCATATGGAGCCACTCGCTCTGCTGCTCTCCACTGCAAGCTGGCTCTGGCGGGGAAATTGGAGGCTTTTTTTCACCCCCCTCCGCACGCCCTCCGAGTGGGAAGTCAGAACTGATGCTGCAGCCTTGCAGCTGCGCGGGCTCCCCGCTGTGTGTGGGGGGCTGAGTGAGCTCCCTCCACCTCCCTACCTTGCTGGGGGAACGGCAGCGCAGTAATGCGTGAGACCTTCCCCCCCCCCCCCCAGGTGTGTGATGCTAGGTAAGCATCCCCCCCTCATGCCCAGATCCCCCCATCCCAATCCCCCTCACTTACTTCCCTCCCACCACCAAGAGCCCACGCTTCCAGCTTGTTCCGACACCCTCCCTTGCTCCTGCACCCTCCCTCCTGGCCAAACACACTACCCCCATCTTGCTCCCTCCACCTGGCCAGACACTCTACTCCCAGTCTGCTTCTACACCCTCCTCGGCATGCAGATCCGTAAATAGAAGTGATTAAGTTAAATCTTGGCACGCCACTTCTGAAAGGTTGCCAACTGCTGGTGTAGACACTGATGTGGAGGAAACCCCTAGGCTACATCTACACTGGCAGCTTCTTGCGCAAGAACTCTTTTGCGGAAGAATTCTTGTGCAAAAACTCTTGCACAAAAGTGTCTACACTGGCATGTGCTTTGCACAAGAGCATCCATGGCAGTGTAGACGCTCTCTTCATCAGAGCTTTCTTGTGGGCCATTTTAACCATAGGGGCTTCTTGCGCAAGAAAGTCATGTTGCCTGTCTACACTGGCCTCTTCTAGAAGAGCTCTGATGCAAGAGGGCTTCTTCCTGAGAGGGAGCATCAGAGTTCTCGCGCAAGAAGCCCTGATTTTCTACAGTACATCAGTTTACTTGCGCAAGAACACGCGGCCAGTGTAGACAGGTGGCAAGTTTTTGCGGAAGAGTGACTGTTTTTGTGCAAGAACGCACCAGTGTAGACACAGCCCTAGGGTAGACGAGTGGCTAATGCTAGGAGCTACCACTTCCTTCTTCTTTTGGATGTGAGGCTGAAATTTGAACCCAGCTCTGTTACACTGCTGCAAATCAACAGTAAAATGTGAAATTGGTGTGAGTGGGGAGAATCGAGCTCATGGGCCAGATGTTCAGGAAAGCTCTGTACTGTAGTCAATGTGCTGAGCTGTTGGCAAAAGCTGGCTGTCATGGCTTGTCTGCAGTGCTCACAAGAACAGAAATCCCTAAACTACTTGGCTACATCTACACTGCAGGCTTCTTGTGCAAGAACTGTTTTGCGCAAGAGCGCATCCACACTGCCACGTACTTTTGCATAATAGCATCCATGGCAGTGTGGACGCTCTCTTGTGCAAGAAAGTTCTGATGGCCATTTTAGCCATAGGGGTTTCTTGCACAAGAAATCCATGTTGCCCATCCACCCTGCCTTCTTGCACAAGAGGGCTTATTTCTCATGGGGAGAGGAATAACTCTTGCACAAGAAGCCCTCTTTTCTGATGCTTTCCTGTAAATTTGCTTGCGCAAGAACACACATGCAGTGTAGACACTCCATAAGTTTTTGCGCGAGAACAGCCATTCTTGTGCAAAAAGCCTGCAGTGTAGACATAGCCCAACTGACAACACCTTTGGTTTTGATGCTAGGCTGCATAGATGCTCTGACTGCAGAATAAGGTAACGCTAGTCTGATAACTGAGGGTGTGGGGTTTAAGTTATATGAGAAGTTATTGCTGGCTTAAGTTATATGAGAAGAGGGGTCTTTTATTCCACAGTAAGAGCATCTGTGCACAGATTAGTACCAGACAACCATAGCTGTGAATTGCCAAGTGTCATTTTCACTTCCAGTTCCTGCATACGCAAGTCCATCGACCCAACCTCTCTTTCCACCAGTTGCCAGGACTTGGCGCAAGGTGCTCTACTATTCAGGGGCTGCATTTGTGTTCAGAACCAGTAGTCACCGTGTTATCCATTATGATGCTGGTTTACTCTTCAAATTGCCTTCCACATCGATAGTGATATCTGTCCAGTCTGTGTCTCTCTTCCAATGCGCAGCCTGGTCCATGTGACATTACTAAACACAGCCCTCTGCTAGGCTATCCTGGTAACTTAAGGGGAGTCAAACTCAAATACAAACTCTATTGGCAAATAAATTGAGCAAACTTCCCATAGCTCATCAGGGAGAGAAAAGTTCAGGTGAATGTTACAGCCCAGTAGACTTATGTCCAGGGGTTGAGGGTCTGTATGCAAACAGAATACTATCTTCGGGCAGCTGGAAGATGCTCACGCACCCATCACAACAATGGCAGACACACCCAGCATCACTTTCTGGATTTCATGCAACTCTACAGTGCTGCGGTCTTACTACACCTGGGAAATGACTTAATAAACGTTAATTCCACTTGCACCATCCTGCGTCTATAGCAGGAAATTGTAAAGTTGCACCTCAACACCAAATCTAAATCTTGGGTTCCAGACTAGTGCTTTAACAGTTACTCAGCTCACAACTGGACTTGTCTGTTCAGGGACTTGGCTCCCCTGCAGAATTCCCAGCCTGGTGGTTAGGCCAGTATGGAAACATCTTCTGCAAAGTGTCATTTGTTCATGTTTATCTCCAAAGGTGTTACCTGAGCTGAAGGAACTCTCAGCTTAGAGCCTTAGAAGCACTCGTACGTATCACAGAATCCTAGGGTTGGAAGAGATCTCAGGAGGTCATCGAGTCCAGCCCCCTGCTAGAAGCAGGATCAACCTCAACTAAATCATCCCAGCCAGGGCTTTGTCAAGTC